TGAAAAGCTGGGCACGTGGTGGCATTTAGGTAAACTGTGAATATGAGATCAGGTAAGTCTTTCTTGGGTTTGCTGCCAGGTAAAGGCAGAGTGTCTTCAGAAGGGGAAATTACGAGCTGGTCACGTTCAACTGGTCCTAAGTGCTGCCTGTATTCCAGAGGGATGCAATGGCTGGAGTGGCTGTACCTAGCCTGCTAAGGGTTTTGGCCCCAAAAAATAATATTGAAGAAAAAAGTGCATCATATAAGTTAATAGAGGACCTACTTGTGAGAAAAGTTATCATAACATTTTGAAAATAACTGGTGCCTTTCTTTATATGTTCATATATTTTACTAGATGAAGGCATGCCTCTTAGCCACGGAGCCATCGGCAGCGGTTGTGAAGTGATGGTGGTGGTGAAAGATTATCACTGGGCAGTCTGAGTATGTGCAGAGTTTGGCTGAGGGGGGTTATAACACCTCTGAATTCTCACTGTCAAAACAAATACACATCTGGACAAACAACATAATCCCCCTCTAATCACGGCAGGAATAAATGGTCTCTGAAATGCAGCTGTTGGACGTTCTGAAAGTAGTAACCTACTCCAGCAACTACAGAGAGACCACCAGCTCTGTAAACTAAATCTCTTGGAGAAAGCAGATAGGAAAGTGTTTCATGAATCCATACATCAAGACCACAGTATTGTACATAATACTTGGACCCAGTGGACAGATCTCCACTCACTCTCCTCATCATGGGAGAAGGGGGAAGACATCTTCTTGAATCCAGATACTCACAGCTAATTGTTCCTGGGCTTCATTAGTGAGCCCGGAGATGAAGAAATTTATATTCCAGGTGGATTTTGCTTGTTGTCAAGCATCTATTCTCCATGGACTGGAATGCCTCCAAGGTCACAGAAATAAGTATAAATACCACTTGAATGCTAAAAACTACAGAGGGGGCTTGTCTGCCCTCTGGAAGGTGCAGCAACAAATCATCCTCAGTGCAGCTTTTAAGAAGAGAGTCCTAAAAAGCACTCTCAGCATTTGTTTGAAGATGAATTATGGCCTTGGTCATCATCTGGAGGAGCAGCCAAACTTATCCCAGTTGCTGAAGGAGCTTCATGGATCTACACTGAAGTTCTGAGTTTTGTTGGAAAAGTCATGTCCAAGGTGAGGGCATCTTCTGTTCTGGTGGTGGGACATCAGGGACATCATGGGGCTAAAGTAAGCACCCCTTCCTTTTTGTGTGATGGACTTGAAGGTGGTAAGATAGAGGAAAGAAAGGACCAGAGGTGTAAGATATCTCATTTATAGCAACGAGACTGAGAACAAGAGAAGGAATCCTACATGGGAGGACGATTCTTCTGCTTTAAAGTTTAGATGACATAAAACAAGGAGACGTGGGTTTTGGATCTTTTCACAGGTGCCACTGTAATGGCAAGGGATGGCCCTGATGGCCAAGAGGGTGCTCGCTACCCACAGCACAGGCTGTATTATCTCCTCTCCCTGCCCTGCTCAGCTCCTCCCGTGTTTGCATGTATGGCCTCGGTTCTACATCCACGTTACTTTCCCTGTCGCCAGTGTGCCGCCATGAATTTCCTTGCCTATGGCGTTGTCAAGACTGTGTGTACTGAAAACCGTGTGCTTGCATCTCAGCTTTGAAAGAAAAAATGCCCACGCTTTCACTCTGCTTTGTTTTCCAAAGGGAAATTAAAGTCGACAGGAAAAGTATTTCTGAATAAAAAAGTTGAATTGCTCCATGTTGGTGTATTTTTAAAAAAACAATTATTTTCAAAATGTACCTGTCATTTACTAAGGAAAAAACAAAGTGCATTAAATATCTTAATTTAACAACAACAAAAAAGATTACTAAGAAATGCCCAGTGTATTGACCTTCCTCCTGTGTTAAATGCCCCCAGGAAGGCAGAAATAGGAAGCTGCGTAGGAGATGCAATGCTGAGCTAAACCCAGGTGGGCTTTCTCACTCTTCAGCTTGTCAAGTAGGTTTTGGTTTTAGAATCCTTTTGAAGCCACTGGATGTTTCCGAGAGCTATCCATAGTCCAGCTGACATTTTAT